GGACATCTGACACCCCAGGCACCTCTGCACTTTTACCTGCGCTGCTACATCCCCCCTACACCCCACCCTAGCCTGTCCCTCACCCCATGATGCCTCCATTTCCATTTTCACTGACTGGCTTTCTTTCCTGCACTGCGGGCCAGGCCAGCCTCTGTCTTCTTTACTATTTCTTCCATCCAGGACCAACTGCAGGTACTTCCTGAGCCAGACAAAGGGGTTTTCAACCCTAAACCTGGCATCCCAGGCAGCTAAGCTGAGCTCATCGGGAGCCTCACAACTGCACTGCAACCAGCAAACATCAGGCCTGTCAAGGTCATGACAAGTTTGGGTGTTCCCCAGCCAGGACTTTGTGCATGCATTAGCGGGAGGTTATGGTGCCTCCTTCCTGCCCTTCACCAGGGGATCGTTGGTCCTGGCATTTACGGGGCTGCCACGCTGCCAGCAGTCCCACCAGACCTCCCTACCCTGGCAGGGTGCAGTTTTAGTGGTTGTGCCCAGGACCTGGGGCCTCCTCCTTCCTCATAGCCCCAATCCCATACCTCCAAGTTCATCCTGGCAGGGGAATGAGCTCAGCAGGGACATGTTCTTCCCCTGCTGGCTGGTGATGCAGTTAGTGCCCCCCTCCAGCTGAGAACAGGGCATTACTTGGCTTTTCAAAACCTCCAAAAAGGAAATTGGTGCAGACGGAGTGAGGAGGGAGGCATTCAGTCTTTCTGCAGGCGGAGCTTGGGGAACCCCAGCAGCGGGAGGTTCACCTTTAGGAACACCAGCTGCTCCACCAACATAGGATCCAAGCAGGTGCAGTGGGGTGTCACAACATCCCCAGCAATGCTGAACACCCTCTTGCTTGGAACACCGGTCAGTAGACAGGACAGGTGTTGCCGGGCAACCATGGCCTGATCCTACCACATCTGGCTGCAGTTTGCCCAGTAGGCCCAGGGGTCACATTCCAGTGGCTCCACATCCTCAGAGAGATAGTTAGCCACCAAAGCCTCGGTGCTACCTGTCCAAGGCTGGGATCTGGTGCGTTTGGACCCCAGCATTGAAGCCATGCCCATGGCCCACATTGGCAATGGTTGGCATGGAGGAGACTGGCTGGTGCTGGTGCTGGTGTTGGTGCTGGGAGTGCTGGCACAGGAAAGTGGATCCCCCTCTTCCACATCCCCTCACCTCTGCACTTTGGCTTCCCTGACTTTGTTCACCAGCACCTGTGTCCAGTAATCAAGGGTTTGGGGGCTGCCAGTGCACATGCTCCCCTTCACCTTTGAGCTGCACTTGTCTGCCATCAAGTGGACCATACTGGACCACAAGGGATCCAGCCATCTCCTGATGCCCTCCTTCAGCTGCCTTACCACTGCCTGCATGTCTGGTTACAGTGGCCTGCCCCAGCCAGGAACATTGATCCCCTGGAACTTCTCCATTTGGTTCCCCAGTTCCTTCACTCTGGAGATCACCTGGCTGAGGAGGACATTGCCAGTGCTAAGGGTCTCGGTGGCCTCAAGGAAGGGCTTGAGGACCACCAAGATCTGGGAGATGGTACCACACTCAGCTCTGTTCAGGGGGGCACTGATCCCTATCTCACCAAGCAAAGCCATCTCATGGATGGCCTTCTGTTGCTCCACCAGCCTCTCGTGGAGTTCCACCGAGTCTCCACATCCTGTATGATTCTGTGCCACAGGATGCTGAGCTCTGCCTGTTTCTCCCACAACACCTTGCCCCACTTGATGCTGCAGTGGAAGTAGCCCACCACCTTCCTGCATTTTGAAATCAGCTGGGTTGTAGCAGTATGGTAGCGGTGCCATCACTGGCAGCTCTGTCCCCCTCCAAGGCATCCCTCACTATTAGGTGCAGCCTGTGTGCCACACAGCGGATGCCAACAAAGTTGGCCATGGGTGAGCTTGGCCTGCCCGACAAGCCACCCTTGCACTAGGCAGTTCATGGCCCCCATGATATGCTTTGCTGTGTGGGACTCATCCAGCACCTCAGCTTGCAGTAGAGCCCACCGACGGCCTGACTGATTGCACCAGTGCCCTATGAGGGAGAGATAGGTGTGATCGCCACCCCAGCTGCTCCAGATGTCGGAGATGAAGTGCAAGGCTACCTGCAGCCCTGACTTTCATAGACATTAGGGCTGGAAGGGACCTCAGAAGATCATCGAGTCCAGCCCCCTGCCCAAAGGGCAGGAAGTCAGCTGGGGTCATAGGATCCCAGCAAAATAAGCATCCAGTTTGCTCTTGAAGGTGTTCAATGTAGGTGCTTGAACCACCTCCGGTGGCAGGCTGTTCCAGACCTTGGGGGCTCAGACAGTAAAGAAATTCTTCCTTATGTCCAGCCTGAAA